CATTTTCTGTCTATTTCTACGTTTTTTTTTCAATTTCCAGCCTCACCGCAATCTTTCCCAGCTTCTCAGCCCCTATCTACCCCGGCTCAAATTCAAATTTTCAAACGCAATGAGTCAACCGGAGACGCTTCCCATACACTCTCACCCCTTCCCTTCGTTTCGCTAATGTCTTTTGGCGGAATTGGGCACCCTGTGAAGGGGTGGAAGCGAGAGAGGCAGAGAGAGAGAGAGAGAGAGAGAGAGAGAGAGAGAGAGAGAGAGAGAGAGGAGAGAGAAGGGCATGAAAATGCACCCCGAAGACTGTCCAAACAACAGCTTCCCCCAATGGATCCGGGGGTCCGGCGCTCTTGGGATGCAAATGGCGATCGATCGATGGGTGCCCTCTGGGGTGTCGGTTGACATCATTGACCCTCTATATTCAAAAAATGTACCCGCCAGCTGGCTGTTAATGGGAGTTTAGTACACTTTTTCTTGCTCCATCGCTTTCAATTAATTTTTTTAATGTATTCCCTGGTAGAGCAGAGTTATCCGTTTCGACACCTAGATTCTGCTCCAAAATAGTGGTTTTTCTGGGTGTGACCTTATTAGTTATTAAATTTTTAATTTACCCGGCTTGAGTTATACTTTTTAATTCCTATCGTCTAAAGTATTTGTATAATATTTTTAATATATCTATTTTTACGCTTTTTTTCGTGCCCTTTCCGGGCGACTCCTGCACTCATCCGATTTGACGATATTTATCTCCTAGCGCCCATCTTTATGGCTATGTTTTTGTTTGACCTTATTCCACCTGCGAGAGCATTCCGACGGATCCCTCTCACTATGACGGGCTGGCGCCTCCAAGATTTGAATAGGACCGGCGCCAGCTGGCTGGTTGCCAATTTTTTAGGGCTGACTTGTTGAGGCGCTATTTTTTTTTTGTTTTTAATGATCCTTAACATTATTTCTCTTTCTCTTTCTGTGTCTCCCTCCCGCTTCATTTTAAGGTCTTGGGGGCTTTCCTGGTTTGTAAAATCGAACCAGCTATCCTGGAAATTAACACGACGATAAAATCTACCCTGCTTCGACTATTTCTCGTCAGCTACGCGACCATCCAAAAGCCACGACAAGGTCTTCGAATTTTTCTGATCTTGATTCTGCTGGCTTTCTAATGAATTTGAACGTTTTTTTGCATCTAGTGATGCCTAGGTCGATGGTATCGCTTCCCAGTCCCTTTAAGATTAAGATTATATACTGAGGAAACCTTCTAGGCTTTCAGCTAGGATTTGAAAGGAGCTAGGAAACACGAAAACCGTCCCATCCATTGACTAGGTCTCGAAAGCTATGCGAAATGGCAGGAGACGCCTGCTCGAATTGAGAATTTTTGTTAAAGTCATGACTGGCGAACCGCACATCCATAACAAAGTTTTACGCATTTTGTTCATGTTTGTAGCTATCAAGAACTAGTGGTTCGATCAAGTAGATTATGTTGCTTTCTAGTCCCTTTAAAATCATTATTACGTAAACGATACCTTCCGGATCAGAATTTGCCTGACTTTAATTTTCAAAACCGTTGCGGTTTCAGCTTAGAAAACCGGTTGTCACCACCCCTTTAAACTTTAACCCCTGCTCAAACAGTTTACGAACACCTTCTCCCCCCACCCGGGGCCCGTAGTTCAGCGCGTTCGGGTTGTTTGGCCCCGAAGGAGCTGTCCGGCCGGGCCTAGAGGTGGCTGTGGTGTGTGTTGATTGTCTCGGGTTAGCGCCCCCGAAGCAAAAACCCCCCAAAAAGCAGCCCTGGATGAACCCAACCCCTTCTTCTTCGTGTTGTGTTTTTCTATACCCACTATTTGCCTAACCGTCCAGGCGGATTTGGTTACAGGCGAACGACGCGCTGCGCGCGGGCTTCCAGAAGAGGTCCCAGAAGACATGCGCTGCCTGCTGGGTGACCCTCGAGTGCTTTTCGCTTCCGCGCGCCCGCGCGCGCCTTCGATTCCGCAGCACCACTTTTTCCGCTCGCTCGACCAGGAGACAGCCAAACAACGGGGGCTAATCATGCGCGCGGGACCAGGGCTAAACCAGCGCGGATTATGAGAGGTTTTTTGTGGGGTGGGGGAGTGAAGGACCGGAATGGACATGAAGAAGTTTGGTGGGGTTTTGGAGACAATGGATGTTTGGGATAAGCTATGACTTACGCACTAATGATAGGTTTTGCTAATTGTAAGGCGAAGTTTAGATATCTCAATTAGGTAGCTTAGGTATATTCTAAAATAACCGTCTAGAGCTCAATTGGCAGCTTCAGAGTACGACTGGAACTGGACCCATTTGAGCGTTAGGGTGTCTGTTAATGGGGTAAGCGATACCCCCAGATACCTATGTATATTGATTTGTAAACATCCTTCCATGTATTTTTTTAGCAAATTCGAGAGTTTCCTCTTGCAGTTTTTCTATGTTACAACCAGACGTTTCGAATCTTTTGCTCATGACCAGATAGTCTACCACCTTCGTTTTTGGCCAAATGGCCATCTCCTGAGTTTTCGCTGAACTCCTTGAACTTCTTCCGCGCGTTCTGACCCTTTTTGACGCTCTATAATGTGATTTCTTTGTAATTTTCGTAGAATGGGACGAGAACATCGGATTTTTTGTCGTCGTGCTAACAAGAGTAGTTCCTGTCTTTTCTAGACCGTTCTATGACCCCCGGCTTACGGTACTTTTCCTCGCGTTCCTCATCGTTGTCGTTCTAGACGCCTTTTTGTCGGCCGCCGCAAAACCGACTAATCACCCGCCTCTGTTGGGTTGGTCAACAACATGCGCGTGCTCTGTCCGACTGTCCTAAGCGCCCAATTTTTTTTTGAGTGGTAACTATCGTAAATTTTCAAATTTCCTTGTCTCGTTTATTGCGAGAAACTTCAACTTCGTGATTATTGCGAGAAATTAAAATAATGTAATGACGCCACATCCGCATTCCTGCGCTCAACATAATTTGTTATCTCTGCCAACGCGGATTTCCTTGCAGAGTCACGCTTTTGCAAGTTTTTCTCATCGGTTAAGCCTTGCTGGAATTTTATCTAAAAAAAAGGGCGTTTCGAGGTCTGATATTTTTCTGGAAATGGGAATGCTGATATTTCCGCCAGGAAAACAGTATTTTCTTAAACCCTTCCCTGGTTTTTTAGCGGGATCTTTTCCAGGAATTTTACAATCCTCCTTCAAAGGCCCCGCCAGCGAGGTGATTTTAAAGAAAGGAAGCATGCTGACTTCTGTTTTTCGCATATTTTGAAAGTTTTGTGGATGTTCGCGTAACTTTCTAGGTCTCGTATACCTAAGGTTCTGTCGCCGCTATGTTCCTGAAAATTTCGTAAACTCTCTGAAAGTTTATTTTTTGCTTAACTTTCCATTTAGCACCTTTTAACAAACAAAGCGTTCCCAGCCCTGCTTTTTCTGTGGATTTTTGTAACAGCCAAGGGCCAATCTATCTCTTCTATCTCCCCGCCTCACCAGTTTTATTGTTTGTTCTTTTCCGTCCCATTCGATTCGAAAGGTTTGCTATCAGAGCCTAATCGCTTTTCCATTGGCCCTCTCTGCCGCTCAGGAATCTTCCACGGTTATGTCTCCAGCATTTTTACGACCGGCTAGTTGATGCCTTTTTTTTGGGGCATAAAAGGGTGGAGTGACCAGCCATTAAAACGTTATGGTTACTAAGGCCAAAAATGAGACGAGGTAAAACTAATGACGGTTTAATTTGAGAGTGATTTTTTTCTATTAAAATTCGGAATGACGCAGGAGACTGCAGTGGAAAATGTCACGCTACAGAATTTTCGCCTAGTGTCAGGTTTCTACATAAAATAAATTTCTCGCTCTCTCTCTCTCTCTCTAGCTCTCTCTCTCGCTCTCTTCCTCTCACTCTCTCTCACTTTCTCACTATCTAACGCTCTCGCTCTCTCTCCCTCTCTCTCTCTCCATCTCGCTCTCTCGCCTTACTATTATTAATGCACCTACTTCCTTATTACTCCGGATCCTGTTCTATCAGTCCGATGTATGATATGCAAATTACGCTGTTCTTTGATCTCATAATCATACAAACTACAAATTTTCCTGCAAAAGTTATTTTGTTAGCTAATTAATTTTTATCCTCAAGAACTTCAGTGCTTTCTTGTTTTCCAGTTTCAGCTTTTTCTGTTTTACCCCAAAAATTTCCATTTTTTAGAAACTCTAGCCTATAAAGAACTGCAACAAAAAAGAAGCGTTCGATGTCGTCGGTGGACGTCTCGGATTTGCCGAAAGGCTTCTGGGAGATTGGGAATTACCGGTGAGTTTAGCGTTTAAAACTTCTCTCGGTCTCAAAAGACGTTTCGCAAATAAACCATCGACTTTTCATTTGCAGCCACAACGTTCGTCGCATCAAAGATGGCGTTGATCAACTGGACGATTTTTCAAAGATGTGCCGCGAACGGGCAGAGATCGAGGGGAAATACGCAAAGACACTGCAGACGTTCCATCAGAAATGGAGAGCCCATTTTGAGCAGACGATGACGCCGAGTGCGACAAGGTCTAGTGGAGATTTAGTATCGTAATGCATTGGATTTCAAAGGGGATTGTGAAGGCATATCGGGGTTATATAGTAAGGGACCAAACTTGATGACCCCTATTCTTCGGCCGTTTCGAATCGATTCAATTTTTCGACCAATTTTCCAGATATCCTGCGTCATACAAAAATCAATTTACAAAGCACTAGATTCAAAATTACATGCTGATTTTGCGAAATTGACTCTCCTGAAGCTTAAAAATTAACTTTTTCATAAATAAAAATTAAATAAACAAGCTAAAAAATCAGCCTTTTTCCGGTGCATGCATCATCTTCAAGGATTTTTGAATAGAAAAAAGATTGAAAATTTTAAGGGACATTGAAGGCAAAATCAGCTAAATCTGGACCTACTATTAAGAGAGACCTATGCTGAACTGCTTTTAGACAATGCCTGACCGATCTCCTGAACGAGAGTGACCACCTGGCAAATTTGCATGCGATGGCAAGAGACAGGCTTTGTGATGAGGTCGGTTTATCAATTCAGCCCTTAATTTCTGCCTTTTGACTATTTTCTACATTTTTATAGTTCTGGAATTTATTTCTGTGCTTTAATACAAGCTTACTCAAGCTTTTTTTCAGATCGTCAAGACCCTGGCTTTATTCCGCAAGGAAAATCATCACCCATCAGCCTTTCGAGCCCCGAAAGAAATCAGGGAAATTGAGGATGCTTTTGAAAAGGTAGGCACTTACCGTACTCCCGGGATTATCCGCTTTTTAGGCCCAAAGGCAGTGGAAAAAGCTGCACGAAAAAAACGAGTCGGCCAAGAAGTCGTATTATAACGGTAAGCATAAAACCAAGCATGAGCCTAAGCCTTAGCCTAAGCCAACCCTAAGCTAGCCTAAGCTAAGCCTAAGCTAAACCTCAGCTACGCTTTAGTCGGGCCTAAGCCGAAGCTAAGCCCAGCCTAAGCCTGTGGTTGAAATGCATCCAAAACCATTTTGTTTAGCCTGCCGAGCCGAACGCAGCGCGGCTGTCCTCCTCGCCAACGCGCAGCAAGACACCTCCGTATCAGTTGACGGCACCCAGAAAATTCGGGTTTGTAGCGTCATTAAATTCACATATTTACCTTTCCTTATAGGACCGTTGTGACAAGGCCCACGATGAGGTGCAAAGAACAAAGCAAAATTACGAGAAATATTTGGCCGAAATTGAGACCTATAAGGTAAACAATTTTGGATTAAAGCACGGATCTTATGGAACATAAAATTCTATAGAAACCTTATTTTAGACGCCCTACATGGAGAACATGACTTTCGTGTTCGCCAAATGCCAACAAATGGAGCTGAAACGGCTGAAGTTTTTCCAGGAGATGATCCAGGGAACGGAGCATGTGTTGCTGGATTTGATACGGAACAACAAGTTAGTTTGGATTCGGAATTTGTCGAATTAACGCAACGAGGGTAAAAATTTATCCGATTAAAAGCTATTAAACTCACAATTAAGCTCGAAATTTCAGGTTCAACCAATTGCACGATCAAATCAACCTGCACCTACGGGCCACCGACGATGTCGTGCTCAATCAAGATCTGAAGACCTGGAGCCAGGTGTATGGAGTGGACGCGCAGATGCACTGGCCAGGCTTTGAAGTAATCTTCGCTTTATATTGATTTTTTAAAAGAAAATCAATGAAAATTACCTGCATTAAGAGGCTAAAAATTCCTTAGCAAAGCAATCGGAGAAAAATCAGTTTTCTACGTCGAAAAGCCATCTGTTAGTCGGCAAAAAGTGTTCTTCGAGCTTCAGAAGCACTTCCGAAACCGAAACCGCAAAATGATCTCGGGCGGGATCGAACCGCCGACCTTCTGTGTGTTAGACAGATGTGATAACCACTACACCACGAGACCGATGACGCCAGGGGAGGGGGCGGGTTGACAGCCTAGGGGAGGCCTGCCCGGGGGACTAAATGACTGACAGCTCCCAAAAGCAAGTTACGGAAGTTACGCAAGTCTAGATAGATCTATATATGGTCTGTAAAAAGCATCTAAATTCTAACTCTTAGTCGTTATATACTTAAAAATACCTCTTTAAGGAGTACCGCCCCGAAATGCGTGAAATCTCGGCCCGAAAAAGCTCAACAAAGGACAACTCTGGAGGCGTGGTGCTGACACGACAGATTATCAAGGATGAAGACCCACTCCCGCAGCGTACAACGGTGGAAAAATTCCGGCAAATGGACAAGATGTAAGTTGAGATGCGACTAAAAATATCTTAATTTTTTTAAGCCGACAAAGCCGATTTATCAACGTTTTTTAGCGAAACCGGAAGTCACAGAAGCCTGCCGGGGAGCAGCCAGAATAGTGATAGTGGAAAACAAGGGGTAAACTATCATTTGAATGTCTTAAGGGTAAAATGTACGTTTTAGAGCAGCAGCGACTCTGACACAAACACATTCGACTCCCAGAAGAGCGGCCAGAAGAATAGAATTAATAAGGTATGAACTTTGTAGGGATATTGATTTTTCCTAAAGTTTTTACACTTGAAAGTGTTTAAATCAGCGTTGAAAATTCTTGATATAACTGTTAATGCTCTTTTTTTATATTGGAATCAAGAAAACACGAATTTTACCCATGAATTATTACGTATCTGAATCAGCCTATAAATTTCATAACCCGGGATTAAACCATTTTTACAGTTCCAAAAGGCTACAAACAACAACTACCCCCAAGAAAACAGATGGGACTCCTTAAAAACTGCCCAGCACCATCAACCCCTAAATCAGTCAAACTCCCTGGCATCGTCTGGAGCCTCGACACTCCCTCCACAGTCCCAAACGCCCGACTCCGAGAAGTTCAGCGAGTTTGATGATTATCAGAAGGTAGGTAGAATTTATGATTTTGAATTTCCCCTCTCACTCTCCCTCTCTAACAGCAAGAGGGCCAGTTTTTTGGGATCTTTTTCTGGACTTGCTCTCTCTCTCTCTCTCTCTCTCTCTCTCTCTCTTTCTGTAATACAACCAAAGGACTAATGCACATCAAAACTTATGGTTATAGCAACTCGGTACGGTGCTCTACGACTACTCCCCCATCGAAAATGACGAGATCGGGTTGAAGAAAGGTAAGCAAGACTGACCCAAATAAAGTGGTGCTAGCTAAGAAACTGGCGAAATTCCCGAAAGGAGCCAAAAAAAACCGAAAATCGACCCTTAGTCTCAGCGAGGTCTAGACAGTTCCGCGTGCATTTGACATTGAAGAAAAATGGTCAATTCGGTGGCGCGCGTGCTTTGGAGCATCGTGTAGACCTAATCGACAGTAGGGGTCGATTCTGGGGCTGTTTAGTGTTTGAAAGCAGCGATATAAATTGAAATTAACTGAATTTAAATACACTTGAACTTATAGAAACATCTGATTTCAGGCGAGACGATCGAAGTCCTGTCGGAGCCCGATTCACTCGGCTGGTGCACCGGCAGGAAAAACGGGCTCACCGGCCTGTTTCCGGCCAGCTACGTGCAAGTTTAAGTTATACACTTTTAACGTTAATTTCGTATGTCTTTTTCTGCCACCAGATCTGTCACTACTCAACCGCTACCACCCGATATTTGCTCCATTTTTCACTTAACTTTTTAAGCTTTCACTTGGATTTTTTTTGTAAAATTTGCCATTGTCCAGCCATTACCCTCCACGTAAATTGTAGTCAATTCCCAATGCCCGGCTCCTGAACTATACAAAATGTGATCATATTGATTGAATTCTTGTAAAGAATAAAGAAATAAATGTTTTATCAATAAGAAAACGCCGTAATTCTAATAAATTACTAACAGTTTTTTAGATAACAGGAACGTATCTCGAGGACGAGAACTTTTGACGAAACAGCTCTTGAGCCTTATGGAAATCTTTGAGCGATGGTAGCTTCATCGGGCTGCAGTACATATACTAAAATTCATAGTCAAATTAATATCCCGTATTCGAACCCGATTTGCCAATCCTGTTAGCGACTCGATACGGCAGCGATCTGCGCCGAAGACGGAGGTGTATTTTTTGAGAAACTGTAAAACCATGGGTGTAAGCTATGGAAGTCTTACTTCTTTTTCGATTTTCAGCTTCTTATGGCCAATTACTAGTAGATTAAAGACGATTATACCTAAAAATGAATCGATATCGGGGAGTGAGTGAGCGAAAAGGGAGAGAGCGAGAGTGTGAGATAGAGAGAGCGAGCGAGAGAGCTAGAGCCAGATAGAAAGATATTGAGACAGGCCGTGAGTGAGAAAGATGGAGACAGCGAGAGAGTGATAGAAAGAGAGACAGACACCGAGAGTGTGAGAAAGGGAATCAGAGATAGTGAGAGAGCGAGAGAGAGAGGGAGAGGGAGAGAGAAAGAGAGCTGATACTTACCACTCTTCCGGATAAAACTCTTCAAATTCTTGATAAAAGCCTTTTCAGTAAAAAATTCGATAGGGCAAAGCATGTCATGCTTTGCATCGTTGTAACAAGCATCTATCAGAATAGCGTCGAAAATATTGTCTAAAATGAGCCATCTTTAGGGACTATAACCCGTAAGCCACCATTCCCAACCGCCAGCTGATTTTTTACGAATTGCACACCGTCTTGAATTATGATGCGGGAAAGCTTATCTTCCACAACCTGAAAAAGTTGTTTCAAAAATTCCATATTTGACAAAAATATGAGGTATTTGAACCTTACATTAAACTGCTCGATAGCCATTGGTTTCGTAGCCGGGTTGATGTCGACCATCGTCACGTTCATCTGAAGTAATTTTTAGACGGTAGCTTACACGCATTCAAAGTATCGATTTTCCTTTCTATAAGCCAACGATACCCTACGGCTTGATGGACTAAATTTAATGGGATAAGTTTAATAACTCACATTCGGAAACGTAGCCGACACAAAATTATTCATCACCCCACCGCCCAGCCCGATGAAGAGGATATCACCAGCTACCGTTTCTAAATCAATACCTCTAAAGGTATCCGAATTAGTTGACCTGTCATCCCCAAGGATTGAGTAGCAAATATGGCTGATATCATCGAGAATAGGTACCCGATTTTTGGGATGAATTTTTTATCAACCTTCCAGCGGCTGGTGTCGGTATTCTCGAGGGTGTACTCTGAAACGAATACCAAAGAGTATGGTGTATATAATTTAACTTCATATACTACTTCCGTTTCCTTTGAAAAGCTGATTTGGAAACTTACTGGCATCCCTGTTTGGGCTGTCAGTGAGTTAGTCCCGCCCCGGGGGGGCGTCCCCTGTCCTGTCAACCTCTCCCCTGTCCCCGTCACCCATCGGTCTCGTGGTGTAGTGGTTATCACATCTGTCTAACACACAGAAGGTCGGCGGTTCGATCCCGCCCGAGATCATGCCCGGTTTCGTGAAGGCTTCTGAAGCTCGGCAGAACCTTTTTGCCGATTAATAGGTTTCAATTTGACGCTCATTTGGCCTGCGAATCCGGTATCAATTTATGCTGCCCGCACCTTCTGTTTACCCATTTTTCTTGTAAAAAACCTACCCGTTGGTATCAATAACGCCGCTTCAACCAATATCACATTTGCCAGTGTGTTCGGTTTCACCACTCTCGCTGGACCGTCGCTAAATTCAGCTGAATTTGCATAGTTTTTAGATACGAACGTCTTTCTACCCGTATCCCAATAATCGCTAACAATAAAGCAAGTTTCCTTCCAGCAATATTCCCCACGAAAGGCTGGGCTAGCAATCCGGTCCTGAATTAGCAACGTGAAGGTAAACTTCAAAACTTAGAAGTTTTGGCTTACCTTGACGATATCAAGAAACTGCTCTCGGGACATTTCGTTTTTGGGTTGGGTCGGAGTTTGAAATTGATAGATGGCGAACATGAGGATGGCAGAAAGGATCTGAAAAGTCGATTTAAATAAATATAAATATCTCTCTCGCTCTCTCTCTATCGCTCTCTCTCTCTCGCCATCAACTTTTATCTAACGCTTAATCAATTACCACATTAACTACGCAAACTTACCAACAACGGCCATCGCAGCCCCCTTGATCGCATGGCGGTCGCACATTGCCTCCTCTTCTTCACGCAACTCTGCAAAAGATTGAGACGATCATTATTTAGGAGTGAGCCATCGTGATGACTGGCCCTTTCTGAAACGCAGGCCATGTGCAGCATTTTTGAGGCCGGAGAGGCATTGGAAAATTGGACAAAATATTCCGAGGTGCGCCACGGCTTACAAGGAGACTTTTTCGTAGCAAGTGTCCGCCCGGAAAAGTCAACCCAGAATAAAAATTAGTGTCGAATTGGTTGTGAAAAATGATGGCTAAGCCGAGAATTCAAATTCGAGGAGGTAAGATGTGACTGAATTTGTGTATTTTGGTCAATTAAAAGCAGCTGTGGATAGCTATTAGCAGACAGGCTACCTGATCGGACCCATTCGAAATTAGTAATGCGTCGTGTTCTCCCGAATTCAACATAGGAAGTAGTATAGCCCTGTAAAAAGGAGGTCCAACTGTCGCCTCTTTTCGATTCGGGCCCGATTCCGCTTGCAAAATTATATGCGCACAATAAGTAACCGCAGCTTTTTCGGGAGATCGATTCGAGCCGGCAAACTTGGACCGTAGTCTTCAAACATAAGAAGGGGTTGTTGATCAACTCCGCAATTTTTTGGAACGACAGATGGAAATTGATAGTAGATTTATTAGCATAATTCAAAATATTGCGGATTTATGGAGTTAACCCGCAGATTTTTTTCAGTTTTACAGAAGTGACCGCCGGCGTGGCATCTTGAACTGCTCGAAAACCCTTCCGGTTAGGTGTTCTTATTTTATTTTTCTGAGCGGTAGTTGAACTCCTCTGCAGTTCACCAACTGGCCAGGGATGCGATTTCGATCTTTCAATTCCGCTCCACTGAACGTCTTGAAAACCTTGGTATGGCCTTCTTGGAATTCGGGTTTTTGAGTCTCACCTCGGCCAAAAAGAAATCCTGCAAAGTAAAATACCACAGTGGATCGTTTTTGAGCCGTAGAAACCTTTTGTTGTTGATCCCCAAGAAGATCCTCAAATGCCGTTTCACAACCCAAGGCCAACTCAACGGGGAGCCATGTCGTTACGCCCTCCAGCTGTCCGTGCCCGGTTTTTGCATGTTTTCAGGAAGTCACGCGCGATGGGCTGCACGTTTCAATGATCATGGATGAAAATTTGGGCACGTCAACTTCATCGAAATAACGCTTAATCGGTGAAGACAGGTTTTATCATCGATACAGGTCCGGTAAACTCGCCTGTAAGCGAAAATAAAACTGCGTTAAAACTACAAATTACGGTTCAAAAATTAAAAAAACCCAGTCTCATTTGATGCAAAGTTTCCATACCGAATCGCGGCTAACCGCTTACGCAAGGTTTTTCTTCCGCTTAAACACCGGAAAACTCCTCTGGAAATGAAACATTCTAAAACTTAGCTGATCAGCTGGATTTTTGGTAGAAGTAAACTGCTACGTAAAACATTGCTTAAAAGGTAAAAACCGAAAAGTCAAGCCAAATTTAAATTTAAGGCGTTGTTTTTGTCGAAATCGGGCTTAACCAGTTACGACAGGTTTTTCTAGCGCTAGGCAACCACCAAAAAACGCGCTGAAGACTCTTTTAGGACTCTTTTAGGACATTTTTAGGACTTTTCAGCATAATTCTAGAGAAGCCTGAGCAACCTTTGAGACCAAAAATACTGCTTGAAAATCTCAAATTACCAATTAATGCACTTTTCCAGTTTTCGTTCCAATCGAGACTAACCGGTTACGACAGCTTTTTCTAGCTCTGGGCAACCACCAACTTTTCTAGGAAAGTTTCAGGCTAATTTTTAGCTTTTTTTAATTTTAGGCTACTTTTTAGTTTGAGGCCAATTTTCAGGTTTTGTAGAGCTTTTCAGATTAAAAAAAATCCACTCGGGACCTTAAAAACCGCCACTTTGGTACACTTTACCCGTTTTCCTAATCACTCGCTAATCATCGCACTCCCCAGCCAGACAAATCTTTGCCCTGATCTCCCCCAAACGTGCTCATACCAGATACGCGACGAAAATGTTCGTTTTGCCCCGATCGGCGGTGGCGCCGTCTGCAAAAAATGGGACAACAAAAACGGTGGTTGGGGGTAGAGAAATGAGAGAAGAAGCACCGCTTGAAAGGGGTCAACAATCGGGTAAAACCCGTGGACCCCGGTTGGCCAGCGGCGAGCCCCCCCCTGTTTGCCAACCACCCGGTTTTTTCAAAGCGTTCTTTGCGGGGCGTTTCGTTTGCAGCAGAGTTCAATTGAGCAGTTTGGGTGTTCATTAACTTTTTTTTGATGCTGTACAGGCTTTAAAAACAGCGAAAAACAAATTTTTCGATAATTTCTATATCAATTTTATAGGTAGATAGAGAAGAGAAGTATGCTAGTTGGCTTAAATAACTTGGCTATACGCAAATTAAAGTAATTGATTTGTCATACGTTTTTTTTGAACAGGATTTTTAGTAATGCTCGATCGAAATTTTTTCAAACTACGCATTTTGCAAATTCTGTATATTTTCCTATGTTATAAAACCCAAAAGACCGACGAAGTAAGTTAGCTAACCCTAAATACGTAAATAGATTAAAATGTCGTAGTTCTGGATTTTTGAGACTTTACTGGCTCGAAAAATGGGTCTAGTCAAGGCCATGAGTTGAAAAAAAATCGGCAAAAGAACATGTGAAAACCTCTAAAATCTAACATATAGCTTGACTCTAACTTTAGCGGCGTTTTTCAGCGAATTTTAGATGCCTTTTGATAATGATGCGGATTTCCCACAAAAAAATTATGGATGACTCACAGCAATTAGCCACAGCTTACCCAAAACACCCCTAAAAAGGGCCTGCCTTTTTGCCCCTGTTTTTCCAAATTTCTGCTGACCAAATCCCACTTCTCACATGCATTTTTACCCTCCTTTTTTACTCTCGGCGCTGCCTACCTACATGCGTCCCAATTAAGATCAGCTGATGCTGGCTGCGTGCATGCGTTAATCTTTTTGTTTTTCGGGGTATGTTTGCGTGTGTTTTTGCGTAATCCTTTTGCCGTTATTATAAAAGATTTGGAGTATTGCTATGCCTATTTATTTTTGAGATAGTAAAGGCCTATTTTTAGCCTTTCCTAATCTGAAATTTGATAGCGATTTGCAGGTTACTTCCATATTGGGACCCGCCAGTCAAGTAGCCGGCTAGTGGGCAGGAAAAAGATTGAGGGATCTACATGCTTTTTCATATTCTATTCGCGTTATTTTTTAATTTTAGTATTTTACTTTGATTTTAACTTTGATTTTAATTCTAATATTGTTAAGGTACCTTCATGTAAAAAATAAAATTCTCCGGCTTGGTCTCGGAGAAGCCAGTGACTTTTAAGCAGAAACAAAATCATAAAGTCAGAAAAACCGCAATTCCTATTTTGTTAATTTGTCTTTTAGTTAATTATGTTATTTAACAAAATTTGTAAATTTTAAATTCTACACTTCCTCTTTCGAAATTTTTTACTGATTTCCGAAGCTCAATTTAAATTTAAATAACCAAATGTCGTTCAAAATGCTGCCACTCAAAAAACGATTAGATCCTTATTCTCCAAGTAATCGCCCCTCAGCCCACTAGGATTACGGTACCCTACCCCCCTGTGAAACCGCACCCCCTCGAGGGCGCCGTTTTTCTGCAAACTCCCAGGCTTTTCAAACATTCCCCCCCGCGGCTCGCAAAAATTTCCCGGGAATGGTCAGCAGTAGCAGCGCCTCCACAAGAGGCGAGGCGACCCCCAGTTTGTTTTTTGCCTGTGTGTGTGCGTGCTGCTGCTGCTGCTTCGGGGGGTTGTGTTGGTGTGGTGGTGGTGGTGAAGGAGGAGGAGGCACGTGAGCCTCCCCCATCGCGAGCCGACGAACAGCTCGGG